ACTATTTTGTAATTATCCTATTAATACTTCTTCCAATGAATTTGGTGAGAACAAATATTTCAAATGCTGAGGATTGTTCGAGACTACCGGAAAACCATGCCATATCCTCAAAGTGATCAGTTTTAGTACAAATATTTGTGGAAGTGCTTTATTTACTTGCTGTTGGGTAAATTTTTAAAATTTAATCATTTATGCAATTCTGGATTAACTAGAAATTATGGCTGTCCCTATTACTGGTATTCTGTTTCACTGCCACACTAAGTATTTGCTTCTTTGTAAAATGTCTGTCATCCTATTATACTGCTGATGGTATTCTTTTATTTCAATGACTTCTACGGAATATATGAATAACTCGTTATTATTATTTGTAGAAAGAAGCTTGCATGCCGCCTAGGCAGTGGCCACCCAAAAACGAAAATTTGCAGTCAAAGAAAGGTTTTCAGGACAATGTCAAAATTCCGACTGATGGGACTGATGTTTGGGAGATTGATACTAGACTTCTAAAATTTCAAAATCAATTGGCATCTGGGTCTCAATGTAATTTGTAAGTCTGCTAGTAATTCAAAGCTATATATATCCTGGCATGGTTATACTTGTTTATGTTAAAGTCAACGTGTCCCTGTTGTTTTCGTTTTCAGATACCGAGGCACATATTGTAGTCAAGAAGTTGCTATTAAAGTCTTTAAGCCCGAGCATGTTAATGTGGATATGCAGCGTGAATTTGCACAGGAAGTCTATATTATGAGGTTTGCAACAATTACTTTCATATATGAAGTGGTGTTTGGTGCCTTACATATTCATGTTATCTCTGTAAAATGAAACGATTCATCTGCTACCAAATAACATGGCACACAAATATTAATCTTTTTCATGCAATTAGAATTTACCCCGATCGTGTTGATTTTAACTTTATTGATCTCTAATGATTTTTTTTTGGGCATACACCATGGAGCATTAACATTTTAAAACTAATTTAGGGTGATGCTTTTATTCATTCTAAGCTCTCCAGATCTTTTTTCAGTTACCCAAATATGTAAAATCCATAGATTCTTAGAAGCATCAATTCTTGTATCATTTTTATTGTTTTCGTTCGTATGGTTTTCTATTTTCTATACATAAAATTAATGTTCTATCTTTGTTCTGTCTGCTTCATTTTCTACTGAAGGTTTAAAATGTCATCATTAATATTAAAGAATATGTATAATTTTTTTTAGATGGAAAGGGAAGGATTGCTATGACCTGGCCTGAGGCACAGAGTGGCTTGGTAGGTATAGATGGCCGCAATTGAAAGGAATGAAATACTTACACATCTTATTTATCATTATCAAAATTTACGTAATTCATAACAGAACAATGACATGCATTTCTTGACTTTTAATCGCATCACATCGCTTGCTTTTCATAAATCAATTAATAATAATGTATAACCTTTGAAGGCATCATCGGAAATATAGAGATACAAACTTGAAATCTTTCATTTAAGAAAATTGTAAGTCGTAGAATT